CTAAGCTGTGCTATAAAATTCTGTGCTACGCTACTTATAAAATTGTGCCACACTGATTCTGCTTATTAAAAAACTTGTGCTACTCTGATCATAAGATTCTATGCTGATCATAAAATTCTGCTAAAAAATAAACCTTTTATTGTAAGTACAACCTATTGTTGTCATCAATCTGCCAGGGATCCCCAAAAGAACCTGTCTGTCCCCATACATCTGCATGACGCTCAGCCTCTCCTCATAGGAGAGATGCTCCAGCCCTTTAATCATCTTTGTGACCCTTCGCTGGACTCTCTCCAGTATGTCCATGTCTCTCTTGTACTGGGGAGTCTAGAACTGGACATGGTACTTCAGATGCAGCCTCACCAGTGCTGAATAAAGGGGAAAGATCACCTCCCTTGACTTCCTGGCAACAATATCCTAATGCAGCCCAGGATACCATTAGCTGCCTTTGCCACAAGGGCACATTGCTGGCTCATGTTCAGCTTGGTGTCCACCAGGACACCACACACACAGAGTCCTTTTCTGCAAAGCTGCTTTCAAGCCAGTCAGGCTCCATCATGTACTCGTGCATGTGGTTGTTCCTCCCCAGGTGTGGGACTTGACACTTCCCCTTGTTGAATTTTATGAGGTTCCTGTCAGCCCATTTCTCCAGCCTGTCCAGGTCCCTCTGGTGTATCAGCCACTCCTCCCAGTTTTGCATCATCTGTGAACTTGCTGAGGGTACACTCCTTCTCACTGTCCAGGGATGTTGGCAACTTGGTGCCAAAAATATAATTTGGGGTATCCATATAAGATTTTCCCCTCTATAATCAGGGAAGAGGGAGGAATAAGGAAAATCTCATCATTTTAATATTCAAAGTCAGGCTTGGTAATTTACCTTTAATGACATAAAATAATTAAGTGTTCATGCATTAGTATGAAGAACTTATGTGTCTTAAGGAAGTTCACAGCATTGTGGTATTATTCTCTTCACTGCTCATCACATGTAGGTTTGGATGAATTCTACTTTTTTTTTTTTAATTTAGTGAGTAAAATAAAATTCAAATTTTAGTTAAGCACATTAATTCAAAGCAGACAAATGTATCAGCTAAACACTGACAAGCACTTCTACTGTCCCCTGCTGCTGAACTACTGCTTAGAGTGTGAGCTATAGTGTGGTCTGGAAATAAGAGGCTCCCTCACAGACTTGCATAAACCCCTGAGGAGGATTTTTTCTTCTTTTGGTGAAATACATTTTAAGCATTATGCTTTGACTCAGTCAAATTCCATCTTATCGACATTCATACTTACTTGGCAAAAAAAAAAAAAAGATTTGACTTAGCAAGCAAACTTATTTCATAGGGGAAAGTATTATACCAGCATACATGGCTCAACTTTAAAATACTAAGTCCTTTTTAATTTAAATACTGAAGAAACTGCTTCTTCACAATCTGAAGTCACATCACTACATTTTGCTCATGAGAATAAAATTTACAGTCATGAGTTGCACATAAAGGATTTATTTTAAATGTTTTAAGGATAGAGTTACATCATAATTATAAAAATTACTTACAGAATTAAGTAACAGATTTAAAGTGTTCATACTTCTAAATGCAGAGAAATAAAATAAAATTAATGAAACCAAGCTCTAAAGATGAAGGAATTACCTAATTTAAAAATGTGAACACGAAGACCTTTGAACTATACACATACCAAGAACCATCAAAATTGCACTAATGATGTAAAATACAAAAAGCACAGCATTTTCAAGGAACCAGAAACTGCTTTTACCATAATTCTTTTTCCCTGAAGCAACTGTAATCTATTCTATCTGAAGATAAAGCCTCTGTTTCTAAATAATTCATTTAAAGAAGGCTTATACCTATTGCAATAAATAGGATTTTCCCCAAAGTATTTCAGTCTTTATGTAGTCCAACTTAGTTTAGGGTTTGGCACTCAAAAGAAAAAAATGTAGTGTTTTACTTATCGATTATGATTTTATTTATTCTTGAACAGAATACATGGTCCCTTCAAATGCTGTATGACACATACAACTGGAAAATTACCTTCGGTTGGCACTATGTTCGCCTCACCAGTGCATTTAATCCTACTAACAACCATTCAAACAGCACAATAAGCAAATTCACAAAAAACTGAACACAAAATAAAAAAAGAACAAAACCCAAACCTAAACATTATAACATGCAACTTTAGTTTGTTACATTGAATGTTCTAACCTTCTAGGCATGCAAAAAAGGATGGTCTGCATTTAAGTTTTTTTTTTTCCTTTTTAAAAGTTTTACATGGCAGCCTGACATCATGCACATACACAATATACAACAATACTACAGCAGGTAAATGAGAGAGGCCAATAACTTTTATACAAAGATCCATGGCTTGTGCCATCACAAGACCTATGATAAATTTGGAAAGTAATGTTGAACCCCTAGAACAAGGGACCAACATGTAGTTACTAGGGTAATGCAAACACTGCATGCAGATCTGAAACATGAGCCTAAAATAAAGCCCAAAGCAGATGGCAGGGAGTGGAATTAGTCTCAAGTCTCAAAAAGGTGGTTTAAGCTATTAAAAAAAACAACCATAAAAGCAAAAACAGGCCCCCAAAACCTTAAGAAAAAAAATGAAAATAAAAACCCCATGCAACAGACAATGGGGACATCTAAAAACAACCATAAAATTTGACAGTATATAGATTATATTCTAATCAGCAAAATATGTGGTGTATTAGAGTGGCTTGCATAAAACCCACAAATGCAAGTCTAATGCTAAAAATGTTCCAGTAGACCTAAACCTCAAATATTTCAAAACAAACCTTGTATTCCTTAGATGTAAAGCCCCAAATTCATTGTACTAAGTTATTAATGTATTTTGTGTGTAATCAATACACTCATTCTTGTGCCACAAATATCAACTTGGGCTCATGGAGCCAGGCTCAGCTTTGAGATTTACATGCAGGACTCTTAAGAGTCAATAGAAAGCACATAACAGATCTGCAGGATGAAAACACTGTGTTGCAAATCTGCTCACTTTGTTCAAAACACAATGAAAATTTACTGACTCGGTGCTTAAAGACTGGATTGAGAAGCTGTTAACTGAAAGACAATAGCCTGACTTTGGTTGCCCATGATGAAATATAGGATATAATGCAATATAGTAGCAAGGGACAAAGAATTAAGATACCATATTTATACAGTATTACCATTTAACAGTATAATGAGGCACAAGCCTTAAGGCTAAAATATGAAATCAGGCCAAAAAAATGGACAGAAAGGGACTTAAACCACTAAGTCTTTGATATCAAGAATACCCACAATAGAGGTCAGACCTCTAATCTCTGATTAACAGTACCTCTTCTGCATCCTTCCACTAACAACATAAGGTTAGATATCTATGTATTCCTTCTTTCCATCAATAGTGTTGACTCTATTCACATTCTTCACATACTGTATTTCTGTGAAGCAGTGCTTTGAAGCTTGTAGAGCTCTGCTTTAACATGACAATTTTTTTGCTGTGCTGATCCTTGTTACAATTCTGATGCTTTTAAAAGTTGCTACACTTAACAAATACCCTAACCTTGATTTACAACTATCTTGCAAGATTAAAACTGTGAAAGGATTCTGCTGTTGTGGGTTGCTTTTTAAATCCACAATCTAATGCAGATGACTGAACCACTGAGACTGTCTATAGCTCCCATTAGATAGTACACCACTGGCATGCAGAACTCTAGCGTTCATAGAATGAAATTCATGTTTACAGCATACCTCAAAGCAAGTACACCACAAAAGGCAACAACAGGTTTAAACTGTAGATTTGTCTGGACACTCCTTATGTGGAAAAGCCAGAAAAAGAATGCATTGAGAAGATGCCTTCTTGAATCAAAATGGTTAAAAACAATAGCAAAACCCAAAACAAAGGAAAGGAATACAGCAGACTGAGCAGAAGGCAACAAATGCTTCTCCTTCTCTAAAGGAGGTCTTCAGTGTAAAAGGACCCCCCATCCCCATAAGATCATATTTACTGTGTAAAAGATTAACTACTATTAGGTTTCTAAGTCCACACACAAACATCCAGATTGCTAGGTTCTGACATTAAATGAGAGACTACTGATTGCCAATGTGTAGTCTAAAGTCTTCTTAAGCAGCATACATACTGTTAAACTTGTGGCACCAAGCACTTGGGTTCTGCTAAGAAATGTGTATAACAAAACAGAGTACAACATTTAGGATTAAAGGCAGCTTTGTTGTGTGTATTTTACTGGTTCCTACAACTTGTAAACAGGGGCCCTTAACCTGCATTTTCTAATTAACTGGTTATACAGATTAAATATATTTTTATAGTTTAAAGCCTTTCCACTGAAAGGTGTGTAAGTCAAACACTTGATATCCTACTGCCCTGTGACTAGTAAAAATGCACAAGTATTTCCATGTACTGCAAGTTCTTAAAAAGCTTAATTTGAAATAAAGTGTAGAAACACAGTAGATTAGATTGATGTTACTTGGGTTAGGCACTCCTTACTGCTGCACAAACTGTTTAAACCTTTCAGAAGAGTCACCTCTGTCCCAACCCAGAAAACAAGGACTGCCAGTAGCCAAGAAATTAAATTTAATGTTACAAAAGAAGGCATATCGAAAACAGCAAACTACACTTGCATGTGGCAGTTGAACAGGTGAGTGCAAGGTTGACGAAAAAGTTAAAATCTATGAAAAAATCTAGATTACAATGCTAGATTGACTTCACACAGCTTGTATTTGCAGATGTTCTTTGCTTTTAACTCCCTCCCATCCAAATATATCAACTTCCTTCAAGAAAAGGAGTTCTCTTACACAAAATGTGTCATGTTCACATAAATTTGTATTACTCAGAACAAAACAGTTTTGCTGGCAGAGATTGTGGGTTCGCAGGGACACTTAAGCTTTCATTTAACTGAAAAACAGTCAAGTCTTTGTGTCTACAAATTTTACATTTAATAGTTCCACAATTTTGGCATAAGTTCATGATGTCGTCTAGGATGTCTTCACCAAATCGTAGACATAAATATGGAAATCATCATCAAACTTGATGAAATAGACAGATGGTTTGGCTTCAACTTGATGAATAACCATGCCAGTCCGTTTTGAGCCATCTTCTTTGGCATATTCCACTTGTTTGCCTACCAGGCTGTCCACAACTTCACCTGGTTCCCGTTCTGCAGGAGGTGAATCATCTGTAATATGAAAATACAATGTACTTTGGTAGACATTTACGGATTTATTCCAATATACAAAACTGCAGAGCCTTCTTTAAAAGTTAAGAAACAATCACAAGTTAAAAATGCAGAGTATGTCTAAAACAAGTTGAGTTGTTCAGACAAGCACCTAACTATTGCCATGCTTCTAGGAAGTACAGTCATAGAATTTTTTTTTTTAGGTAATACCGTCTTCAATTTTTTAAAGTAAAAAATAGCACTTCAATTGGTTAGAAAAGTAAATCTTTTGACATGAAGGTTTACACACCAATTACAGAACATGTTTGTAGATAACTGAATTTAAGCCCCCAGCAGAACAAGACACTTTAACAGAAAGGCAGGTGTGCTAGAACTTCCTCTCCCCACATGCTTTATCCAAAATGTCAATGCAAAGATGCCATTGCAACGAAACCACATCTTCCAAGCTAAGTGTAACCTCCTTAATCAATAATGCTGTTAAAAGGGGCTTTTGATTTCACACTAAAATGGATAACTATATTATTTGCTTTTCTAGCAAAATCTACCCAGAAGTACCCTTAAGGACACAATTCACATTGTCTGTAAAAGATACAGATTCAAGGAAGGTAGCTCATAGTTTGGAATGCCTTAGAAACAGAGGTAAGTAGTAGATAGTCTCAGGAAAAAAAGAGCGCATAAAAACCTTAATTCTTAAATATGGAAAGCATAAGCCTTTTAGCTAATTTTTCTAAGATGTAAGAAAGCAAAGCAGAATTTACAAAGGAATTACAAGGTATTTGGAGGTGGCAATTCTGAAAAAGCTTGCTTTATTTGTTTCTTTAGAAATAGGAAGGTCACTTTTTCCATTAACATTTGTGGCTCACTCTTTTCAAGCCACAGATATGTTGCTTTTTGTTAGGCTGGAAAAAATCTAAAAACACAGGATTACTACAGAGGTTATGCAAGTAAGTGCCACTTGTTTACTCAGCCATCAGACTATTTGTTATCAGTGCTAGATCTGAAGGAAGATAGTCTCAGAAACTCAACGAATTAATTTTAAATAATATTTATGTGGTGCATTGCATAGCCAAACACTAGCTATCTAATTAATAATTTACTTTAAAGCCAAAATTGCCTCTCTGTCAGAGAAGTGCTTTTGATGTGCAGGAGAGAAATGAGAGTACAATATTCTTGACAAACTTTTTTCTTCTTTTTTTGTACTAGCTATCCAAATCTCTTGAACAATACTGATTCTGTGAAAATCTTTCTATATTTATAGGAAAAACCCCAATAACTTTCACTTCAAGAAAGGAAAAAAAAAATCCCTCCTAACCTATTGAAAATTTTTTCCTGTAAATGTGTTTAAACATGTGAGAGAAAATGAGTTTTCAAAAGATTAGTGCTTCTTTCCTCCAAGAAACTATTCAAAAGCTTTCCAAACTGAAGATGCCTACCCAAACTAAATTAATCTGACTATTTTAGTTAGCCCCCATACATTATTCTTATAAGAACTGCTTCAGAAATACAACTCCTTGAGATGGCTCTTGATTTGTGACATTTCTATAAGAAAATAACAATGGAAGGCTTCTATTTTGTCAGTTTCTGTTAAAAAAAATCTAAGTGTCATCTCTTCCACAATAGTATGTATCAGAATTAGGAATTATTACAGAAAAGGATTTTCCAGTATTTATTGCATATTTCACCACTGATTCAAGTAAAATATTTCAGAAGTTGTTTAACACAGATGTATTTTATGTTGTGCTGTAACCTTTGTTAGTTTTGATACTTAAAAAGATCCTTGTTTGTCAATTCTCTTTTCCATACGTAAACCATAAGCCAAACAATACTACAAAGAGAGATGCTGCTTTCCAGAAGAAAAAAGTAACTGGCCTACTTACTGGAATCAGGCATAATGCGAAGGTCACCTTCTTTATAGTCATCTAAGAGTTGGTACATGTACAAGACAGGATCTTTCTCGTAGGTAATATAAAACCATGTGTTCATAATAGGAGCTCGAGCTAAGACCATCCCTCTCCATTCATCTTTTGAGCCATCCTCTGTCTCAAACATATGTTCCACAGCTTTGCCAATCATTGTGTCTGCCAGGTGGGCATCGCTAATTCGAGATGAAGCTGAAATGGTAGCAGTTCATAAGTATGTCCATTCAAAAGTACATAAATAAGTCTTTGTAAAAAATAATCTTTATCCAGATTAATTAATAAATTTGTTTGAAAGTTAGTAAATTCACATACAAAATAAATACTGTCCATTCCAGAGAGTTGAAGACCAAAGAACTGCAGAACTAGAGGAATTAATTATTTTAACATGTTAACACTCTTATCGACATTTTCCATCATTGTACACCCCCCCAATTAATCAAACTATCATAATGCAAGGTAAAGGGAGAACAATATAGGCCACAGCAAAGAATAGTGTCTGTATTTTAAATATTTGTATTGTGGGGGAAGGGGAGGAAGAGAGGTTAAATCATAGAGCAGCTGTATGAAGTTATTAATGAAGGTGTTCAGTTTGGTTCCCCCTAACCCCATTCTAGAGACTGCTACTGATCTCTTTGCAGTCAGGAAAAGCAAGAACTTATTTCATTCAGACATAAGTAATTACTAGAGTAAACTCTGAACTTTACAGTTTGGAAAAACCTGCAGTTTAACAATTCAGTGTTACTAGTCAAGTTATTTCACTTAGAAAATGCTTTTTTCCCTCCATTTATATTAATACCTAGGGAAAGCACATGAAAAAATAACCCAACCAAACACATAACTACTGTCAAACACACACAAGACAACATAGCCAGGACATTTCTCAGCTGGCTCAGAGTTTAAATTTTAATAGAAATATCAATGTTACATGTACATAAGCCTGTTAGGGATAAGACTCTGAATGAGAAAAAATACAGAATTTACTGCATACCATTTAAAGACAAAAGACTATGCTCTCTGGTATCATCAAACCTTTGGAAATTAAGAAAAATTAAACAGCATTTAGATTATCTGTCATGTGATGAGAAGTAATTTAATAAAATGTAAATGTTCTGACAACATATGCGCATATAGGAA